CATGGCGAGGAAGGAGCAGCCGTCCTTGAGGAGGCCGGTGATGTAGGGGCGAGGCACGCGCAGGGTGTCGGTGGCGGCCAGGACCTTGAGGCTCTCCATCTCGGATTGGAAGATTTGGATGAAGCCGAAGCGGTGGTTCGTCTGACAGTGGAAGGGAGGGAGAGAGGGAGGGAGGGAGGGAGGGAACTTGCGTCGGACGACGGGGAGGGAAGGAGGGAGACAAGGCGGTCGCAAAGAAGAATGGGGGGAGGTACTGGGTAGGCACTTACTTTCACAAAGACAGCGCCGGCCTCGGATGTTTCGAAACGGTAGTGCTGGTTCTGTAGCAAGGGGAGGGGGTGGTCGAGGAGACATGTCAGTGCCCTCTCCTCCGCCCTGCCCGTGGGCGCGAAGGGCGCGTGGTAACATCTGGGGGCGCATTGCCTGCGTGCCACGACCAATACATGCAATGCCTTGTTGAAAAGGCGTCAGATAGCAGGGGATTGGAATTTTTACAAGGACTGGCAAGCCCGGTCTGGCAGAGACCCCCACCTTGGCTCTTGCCTGCACACGCCTTTTTCAATACCATCCCTTCGACTTCCTGACAAGCTCACTGAGCGGATTTGAGTTGGTATGTGCTATCCTATTTTTCCCATATTTCCCCCCAATATACATAGTCATGCATACACCCCAAAGTTAACGTACGTGTAAACCCGGCCCCAGGCTCTTGTCTTGAACTAGGTGAGTCTTGCCCAGACCCACCGCTTCGAGTTTAAGGGCAATTTCTCGGAGCACAGGTTCGTTAATCGTGAGTCGCTCGGCGGAAGAAAGGATGGGTTGGGCCCAGAGAGCAGGTTGAGATGTGAAGGGAGCAGAACCGCATGGGAAGGAGGAAGTTGGAGGGAAAACAAAGGCCGTCAGGGGTTTCCATAGCGCCATTGAAAGAAGTGGGAAAAAGAATCGAAGACATGGCAGTAGCCGTGACGCGGCTAGAGTTCCTGGCATAAGCTGTTGAAGCGGTGCGATATACAGAAAAAGGGAGGATAAAATTAAAATAGGCAGATGATCGGCACGTGTCTCTAATGAGCTTCACCTTGATGTTGCCGGGGCCCTCCCTCCATCATCCGGGACTACACGCCCCTGTAATCGCACCCCGACCCCCACGGACCACTCCCTACGTATCCACAAGCCACACACGTGCATGTCCTGCAGGCGCGGTCCCTCGGGCCTGTGCATAAATGGGGTCGTGCTCCACCTGCTTAGCTGGGAGCAGGGTCGGGAGCCGACGCTGTCGAAACCCGTCATGCTTGTTCGTTGTTCGAAGCTCCCACCCCCCCTTTGGGGACCAAAACCGAGGCGCGCTTTTTCATTTGTGCGGCGTGCGGGGGCCGAGGGCATGCATTTCCAAACATCCTGGCATGGTTGATCTGGCATTGACTCGGTGGGGACATGTCTACGAAAGCCCAGGCTCGACGGACGTGCCTTTTTAGAGTCTGGTGTGTGACTTCTCGGTTCCCTTCTCTCTTGCAGCGACCCCTCACTGACAAAATGGCATCAGCTTGGGAGATGAAAGGAAGGTTAGAGAAGGCGACACACGGAGATATAAGCAGCGGAGGACACAGACGAAAGGTAGGTGCTTGGATCAGCAAAAAAGAGGGCGCGTGTAGAGAAGATAGGCGTGGGCAGAGACATTTTAATTGAGGGGTCGGGGGGCATGTCCTGTGGGGGAGGTTAGGGTTGCATTTCCAGGAGCCACCAGTCCCGCAGAATCTCGACCAGGACAAGATGCAACCAAGGACAGAAATTTAAAGGATAACGACAGGAGGATGCAAAGAATCGTCGATAACCGATTCTCAATCTTGTCCGTGCTGTTTCCCTCTCTCCCTCCCTTCCCCCCTTCCTCCCCCCCCTGCTTCCCTCTTTCCCTCTTCCCTTCGGTGTTTCTTCCCCAAAGGTTTCCTGCCTCAGATTTAATCATTCCGGGAGCCATTTAGCGACAGGTGCCACA